ATATATATATATATATATATTTCTATTTATTTATTATTATTATTATTATTTTTTTTTTTTTGCATTTATGAGGAAAAAGTATTGCTATGGATGTGACATCTTTCCGTTATGGATGTGACCGATGTGAAATTGCCCCTTGTGCGACTTTGGTAAATCAAATATAATTGTTTGAATTTAAAAACATTGACAGATACATTATTGAGTATTTCTAAAGTGCTGTAAAAAACTTGCTTACACAAAAAATCTGGAATGAGTTTCCATATTTTGGTAAAAACATTTTTTTATGGCATGGTTGAAATTTGCATGGAAATTGTTCATACATAGAAGTCAGAATTATTAGCCCCCTGTATATTTTTTCCCCAATTTCTGTTTAACAGAGAGCAGATTTTTTCAACACATTTCTAATCATAATAGTTTTAATAAATCATTTCTAATAACTGATTTATTTTATATTTGCCATGATGACAGTAATTAATATTTGACTAGATATTTTTTAAGATGCTAGTATTCCGCTTAAAGTGACACTTAATTAGGTTCATTAGGTTAACTAGGCAGGTTAGGGTAATAAGGCAAGTTATTGTATAACGATGTTTGGTTCTGTAGACTATCATAAAAATATATCTTTAAGGGGCTAATAATTAAAAAATATTTTGTAATCAAAAAATGTCCTTGCTCTCCTAAACATTTGGAAAATATATAAAAAATAAACAAAGGGATTTAATAATTCTGACTTGTACTATACACTACACAAATACATAGAATTTGGGTAATTTTTAATTCAACATTACATTAAAACTATGGTTGGAAATGGCAGAAGTAAATCATCATATATTCTCATTTCACACCAAACTTTACATTTGACAAAGAACGTTTATTAAATATACACTGCCATTTTAGATGTTGCACTGCTGTTCATATTGCATTTCAAAATGACTACCGTTTTGCTTCCATACCAGGGATTTGTTCCTGTCTTTTATATTTTTTATAATGAAGTAAAGATTAATAGATTTAATAAAGTTTGAATAAAAGGCATTTAATGAAGTTTATTTTAAAATCAATCCGACCACAATATTTGTGTGTCTGGTTTATTGACCCGAGTAGACAAACCCTTCATATAACACAAAGCGAGCTGTATAAATGAATAAAAGCGCAACACATGTCATATAGAGGAACTTTATGGTTCAAAAGTGACTTTGTGATTGTATAGATGACACAAATAAATTAAACTTGCATACAAGTCAACTGGTTTGTAAAGGTTTTTTATGCATGAGTATACAGCATTTGATCCTCTGGTTTGTCCTCTGTTTGTGTGATTGTGCTTGAAGTTATGAAAGCTTGTTCAATCCAACCACTAAATGATAGTCCTTGGCTTTCAAATAAATAAGACCTGTTTTCTATAAATTGTTGTCTTAAAGTGATGAGCTCTTTGATTTTTCCTTTCCAAAGTTCCTCTTTCAAAGAGTACATTAAGTAAGTGGAGAAACCTGAGTGAAGACTTGTTTTGGTTTTAGTTTTGGAGAGCAGGGGTCATCAATCTCGGTCCTGGAGGGGCGGTGTCCCTGCAGGGTTTAGCTCTAACTTGCCTCAACACACCTGCCTGGATGTTTCAAGTCTACCAAGTAAGACCTTGATCAGCTGGTTCAGGTGTGTTTGATTAGGGTTGGAGCTAAAATCTGCAGGACACCTGCCCTCCAGGAACAAGTTTGGTGACCACTGCTCTAGAGAAATCTGAGAGACAAACTTGAACTCCACTTACTGTATTATCCTTTCTGTCAGAAGTTATGGTTTCAGAGCATATTTACCAAAATGACAAAAACAAGAAGCAATAAAAATGAAAAACACAAATGAAGACAAAAACAACTCGTTAAAAATGCCATCACAAAAGTGCAAATGATATATAATAACCAAAAAATGGAGTAAAAAAAGACCCAAACATCCAAAATTGCAGAACATTGTTACCGCAGACAGTTAACGTACATTAATCTTATATAATCTCTGTGTGTGTGTATATATATGAAGAGTTCAGATGCAAAAGCCACTATTTTAAACGCCACTTCCGCCAAAAATGAGATAATGACATTGAGCGAATGCTTTAGGCACTTAGTTTATGTTCAACAAATATTTTTGTTTGAAATCATCTAAATTGCAGCATCAGCACATTCAGAAATAAGTTTGTCAGCAAAAGCCGCTGAACGCCACTTGCCTTTGACAGCAAAAGCCACTATATCCCGAGAACCAATCAGAAGGCGCAAATCGAATCATAGTTTTCATGGTAGCAGCGTGCTGATATGCCGGCTTTATGAGCCTGATTTACTATAGCTACATTAAACAGCAATTCCATTTTACGAAAGACGAAGTTAGGATGCTGTTCTTTTATCCCGCATGGATGCTATGAGGATAAACAGACGAAATACAGACCAAGATCTTGAGTATAGTGAGGATGAATAAATGACAGCTTCTGAAATACATCCTCTTTTTTTCTGCACAGTCGGCCTACAGTGTTTTATTTGCTAATGCAAGCTGTTTTAAAAGATAAATATAATGTATAAAACTAAACATTATTTATATTACGTTTTTTTAATGGACAATGCACAGATGTTAATGTTTCACCATGCTTTTACACTACATTATTTGACCTTAACAAGCTTGTTTAAATTGTTCTACTTACATTAAATCCTAATCCCAAATATCAGAAATGACAACACATTGTTAAGATTTAATTAAATTAAAATTGAATGTCATTGATTAATGCACTTGACAGATTTCATTCATTCATTTTTACTTCTGCTTTGTCCCTGGTTGATCAGGGGTTACCACAGTGGAATGAACCGCCACTTACTTGACAGATTTATATATTTTTAATTTCAGGCTGTTTCTGTAATGTGTTTTAAGTTCAGTAAAATAATCTCTAATTGCATATTAGGTGATTTTCAACTAATTACACTGTTTTGTCCCAATAGATGGATTTAGAGGTTTTTGCATAAAAAGCAGACGTGGATTTAGCTGGTTTTGATGCAAAAGCAAATTTACCTTGTTAAAAAACGAAGAACTGTCTGAAGTGACATTTTTGAAAAAAAAAAAAAAACTTTATTTACTAGCTAATAACCTTATCATTATGTATAAAATGAAACTTCTGAACCTAATCAGGGGAGCCTGATAGAAAATGATGGATTTAGAGGGGTTTGCATCTGAACTCCTCATATATAGCCATAGGTTATTTAAAATGTAAACAAAGTTTTTGTTGTAGTGGTTTATCAAAGAAGACATGTCACATTATGACATCTCTATAAACATTTGACACATATTTACTGTAACATTACGTAGCAAAAAATGCATAAATCAATAAATGTGAACCCTTCAGAGGTTGTTTTTCAACATGTACACTGTTTTATGCACTGTTCTTACAATAAACTGTTTAATACACTGTAAAACCCAAAAAGTCAAGGTAACTCAAATCATTTGAGGAAACCGATCGCAACAAACCATTCAAGTTCAAAAACTAATCCTAATAGTACTGTGAACTTCATCTATTTGAGTAAACAAAGCAATTTGAGCACAGTAAAACCCGATAAATGAAGAGAACTCAAACCAACTGAGTACTGTAAAACCCAATAAGTTCAGGCAACTCATACCGTTTAAGGCAGGGGTCACCAATCTCGCTTCTGGAGGGGCGGTGTCTCTGCAGGGTTTAGGTCCAACTTGCCTTAACACACCTGCCTGGTTGTTTCAAGTATACCTAGTGAGACCTTGATTAGCCTGGTCAGGTGTGTTTGATTAGGGTTGGAGCAAAAATCTGCAGGATACCGGCCCTCCAGGAACAAGTTTGGTGACCACTGGTTTAAGGAAACCGATTGCTGCAAACCATTTGAGTTAAAGAAAACTAATCTATATGAGTACTGGGAACTTACTTCATTTAATGAACTCATTACCTTCAACACTGAGTTCAAAACTCTTTTCAAAGGAGCAGAATTAACTTTCAATAAATTTTAAGCTAACTACACTCATTTCATTTGATAAGTTGGGTTTTACAGTGCACAAAATAAACAGTTGTGGAATCATATTTATTTTGTTCATCAAATGTGTGCGATCCCTTCGAGTGGAATATTGCAGAAAAAATAGACCCGGCGCCGAAAACCATCCCTTCAGTGCTGCTCACATGACCCCTGCTCGCAATGTGAAGGCAGTCATTTTCTTAATGTTTATAAACAAAACTTATGAGCCTGCTGTTGTCAGATTCCATTGGTTATTTTAAATATGAAATGTAATATAGTAAGCTTGGCAAACACTTTTGGAGAATTTGATGTTTCCCCATTCAAAGACATAAGAGCTGCACATACTCGGGGGGTGTTTTAACGATGGCCGCCGATTGAAATGACTTCACATCCAGAGCACAATATATCATGGGCAAAATTACCCATAGGAGTAGGCAAGAATCTGCCATTTTATATATCTAAAATATGCTATCCTTCAGAAATGAAATTGCCCATCAGAGATTACCAAAGGTCAGAATCCAATCATTATCCCCAACCACGTAAAAGTTTGATTAATAAATGAGATATACTGAATTAAATGTATGAATTTGGTTCAGGAAGGTTACTCTGTATTACGCAAAACCACTGAACAAAAGCTGAATCTCACACCGAGTAAACCTGTAGGAGCAGGATGAAGCATGAAAAGGCCAGGATGACCAGTTTAAAGATGGAAAGCAGAACATGGGAAGAGTTTTTGGCATCATCCCTCCTTTCACTGGCTCTCTGCGGCTTCTTGTTTAGAGTATCCATCAATGAGGACAGAAGACCAACACAGGAAACGGCTCTTTCTCATTTCTCAATGCTGGCTGAAGTGACGGCTGATGACAAAAAGATGAATCACAGCATGTTCAGAAATTCATAATCACAAATATATTGATTATATTTGTCCAGTAAAACTGTGCTTATAAACTATTTGTGTTTCCTTTACAAATATTATTGAGAATATGACATATCTCATTCTAAAACATATCACTTACAAAAGTGAACACGTATTTTAATATCATATATAAATCATATAAATAAATAAATAAATAATTAGCCTATCTATTAAGAAATGAATTTGAATAATTATTATGTATTAGAAATAAAAAACATACTTTAATAATAGTATTAATGATGATGATGATGATTATTATTAAGTAGAATACTGTTTATTTATTTATTTTTTAAAACTCTACTTTTACAATTTGACATTTGCAAACCACAGCAGAAAGTTCTAACCAGCAGGCCCATGACATATACAGTACAGATACTTAATAAATAACCTACTATAAAATAAAAGTATTAACTTATGCTATGTTTTTTGTTTTCACAAGCTTTGGAGACGTAAAATAAATTCTGCTTTTAAATAGTAGGTCACCTCTAAATTTCATCATGAGACACGGCTGTGTTCAAAATGACATCAATGTTTTCAAAGTGCACTGCAAAGGGAGCGCAATTGTAAACATGAAGATCGCTAAAACTGAACTGTAAAAATTGTTAGACAAGCAGTGCTCAAGTGCTCAACTTTGCGATGTAGTTTGCGGATGTTCGTTGGAGCGACGGATTTGAGAAACGGCAAATCAACAAGCTATGTTTGTAACGACGGAACTTGCGACCTTAGTTGGCTAGCGATTTTGGGAAATGGACCCCTGATTGCTTTGGTCTGAACCTGTTAAAAGTACCAAAATGCAGCCATGTGACAAAATCCACATCACTCATTGGCCAGATGTTTTGAACGTATTCCCAAAACTACTTTTCACTTGGTCAGAATTCACATGCGGAAAAATGCCAATGGACCTCCCGCAAGGAAACAAACAGGCAGACACAAAATATCGATTTTGATTATGGAGCTACGATTGTGCTGGCTGATTGCATCCCTGCTCATAGTATACTATATAGTTTGTATGCATCACTTTAGACCAGGTGTGTCCAAACTCGGTCCTGGAGAACCGGTGTCCTGCAGATTTTAACTCCAACTTGCCTCAACACACCTGCAAGGATGTTTCTAGTAAGCCTAGTAAGAGCTTGATTAGCTAGCCCAGGTGTGTCTCATTGGAGTTGGAACTAAACTTTGTAGGACACCGGCCCTCCAGGAACGAGCTTGGACATGTCTGCTTTAGACAAACTATACATTTTGAGAATGAAACGTGGCTGTGAATGGAAAACAATGTTTTAATGCATTGCAAATGGCGAAGGTGCATAGCAAATCACTTCAGAAGGTGTGAATTAATTTAAGTAAACTGTGACATGGTCATCTTCCGTAAATTATACCATTGATCCATCAGGTAATGTTTTTCCTTTTCTCTCTCTCTCTCTGTTTAAAATAGTTTGTAAAGCACTGTTAAACAATTTTTTCCTTCACACTCCATATTGCACAGCACATCGGCCTACGGCAGCTGGATTAGTCCAAAAAGGCGCAGTGCTTTTTGCGGTTGGGTCTGTTTTATTTCGGATCATATTCTCACCACAAACTAATCACTCCAGGGTCTGATTAAAAGCATACCATGACCACCTCTTCAAGGTCCGCTTTTGCTGTGCACTCGAGTGCGATTGCTCCATTCACACCTGTCCAAATGAACCGCATGAAATACATGAAATACAACTCCCAGAACTCTTAGCACTCACACACCAGTTCCTGATTCCTCCTAATTACAAACACACACAGCTGGAAGCTCATGATGGACTGATAACCAGGACTATAAATACACCTCACTCAGAGCTGAGTCTTGTTAACTGTGAGCATTTCTAGCAGTTTCCTTGTCTTGCCTTTCATGTTTTTGGATCCCTGTTGACCATTCGCCTGTTATACTAACCATTCTCTGGATTTCCTGCATGATTCAATCTGTCCCTCTGTGTTAACCTTGCCTGTACGACCATTATGTTCAAAAAACTGCACGTAGATCCTCACCTATGTTGCCGACCCTACTCATTACACTTGTAGACCATATGACTATTAAACAAAAATAAATAATACAGATATTAAATATCAGAAATATTCATATTAACTCGGGGAAGCCTAAATTAAATATTTCATTTGACTTATTTTTTGACTTATTTTATTTTACACATAAAATTGTTTACATTTATTTAGTGAGCAAATGAGAAACAGTCTCATTTACTCTGTATATATGCAGTAGGTGTGTGTGTGTGTGTGTGTGTGTGTGTGTGGTTGTGTGTGTGTGTGTGTGTGTGTGTGTGTGTGTGTGTGTGTGTGTGTGTGTGTGTGTGTGTGTGTGTGTGTGTGTGTCAGTGTATGTTGTGACAGAAGTATCAGTATTTACCTTTGCGAGTAGGATGTGCTTTAGTGGTCTTCACCATGCTGCTCTGAGAAAGAGTCTCCATAATCCACTGTAGAGAAGAGGTACAGAACTCCATCTGCAAATACAATATCAATCAAATCAACAACAGTCTACATACACCGTGATACACCTATACCACATTACTAGCTACAATACACCTTTCGATGTTTATTTTGATGTTAGATTTTTCTGGGTCGACCACATTTTTGGCTTTTAGAACTGCCTTAATTCTTTGTGGCATTGAGCAAGTAATTGCTGGAAATATTTCTTAGAGATTTTGGATTTGTATTTGCATCACAACATCACACGGTTGCTGCAGATTTGTCCATGATGTGAATCTCCTGCTTCAGCACATCACAAAGATACTCTGTTGTGCCCCGTTTCCACTAAGTGGTGCAATACGGTATGGTTGGGTACGCTTTTATGGACGTTTCTACTGTCAACCAAACCAAATCGTACCACTTTTTTGGCACCAATTCCAAAGGGTACCAATCACAAGAAGGGAACCGCCATGTTTTAAATACACAGCCATGAGATTACACCGTAAAACTATATGCATATAATAATGAACCATGGATGACCGGAGCTCAAACAAACTTGATGTTCAGACACAAAGTCATGAAGAACAAAATCTGCCATGTCCTGTTGTTGTTTTAAGAGGGCGTCTAAAAGTGCGAGCGGTTTTCGCTTTCTTTCAGGAGCTCGCAATCGCGTAAATATTTGATATTACGAATTTCTCGAGCTGATGATAATAACGTGCGCGTGATTATTGAAGTGTCTTCGTCATCTGATCTTTCCGGAAAGAAAAGGACAAACGCGAACAAACAAAGGAAAAGCCACAAGAAAAAAGAGAAAACACAGGGGCAAATTGTTTCTGCAACCTGCATCACAAACAAACTGCCCATGCTTATCATCATCTTTTAGACTACTATGAACTCGGAATGACAGAATTACTCTCTAACAAGTGGCTACATGTGCTGGTGAAGATTACAGACACAGATGAGAGGTCTGCTCTGACTGTGGGCTATGTTGCATGTTGTTATTTAACCTAAATAAGGACCAAATGTATGCTGTGTGTAGTTTTTCTGTAGTTAGTAACATATCAGACAGTATAGGGCTGCATGTGTTCATATATGTTGTATTTATTTATTTGATATTATTGCAGATGTTACAGTAGGCTATTTCGCACTGTCATTGATCTGCAGTTATGATCAAATCATGTTCATAGAAAAGTTAGTAATGAGCATTTATACACAAGTATTTATGTGTATGAAGCATCTGTTTTGAGAGAAGTGCTTCTCATATGATTTGTGAACGACCTGTACGGCTTTACTGTAGACATTTATTCAAGCTAGAATGACATCGACTAAAACTTTCTGTCGTACACCACGCCCACCAAAAGGGTACCCTTGCTATTGGAAACACCAGCCTGATTAAGGTGACCTATACCGTACCGTACTGTACCAGTCAGTGGAAACGGGCCATTAGTGTACCTGATAAGGTGGCCATTGAGTGCACAATATAACACTGGTAAAACATCATGTTTTCTCACCTCTGACTCGACCGCTCTCAGTCTGCGGTCTACATCTCTGATCTCTGCAACCTGTTTGATCACACTATCCACTCTGAAACAAAACACCATCCACATCAATGTTAATCTGAGGAAAAACAGTTTAAATCACATTTTGTTCTGGTTTAGTTACCGCTGCGATGAAGCAGTAGTAGTCAAGTGATAGTTTATCATATTTGGTCAGTTTTGGTTTATCACAATTATTTTTGTCTAATCTCTTTGTCCAATGCTCATTGGAAAGTTGTATCAGCATGTCCTAATATAAAAATGTTCAATTTAAGTTTAACTCACTTAGAAGTTATGCGTTTGAGCCTCTCAGAGTCAGTTCCTCTCTGTTTTTTGATCTCAAGGGCCAGATAGTTCTCCTTCTGCAGGTTCTCCCATTTCACCAGCTCCTTCTTCTCTTGACCCTTTATCTTCAGGGCTATATTAAAGGCAAACACAGACATTTATTTATCAGTCGTTTAGCTCTAACAAATGTTCTTGTTGAGCTATACATTTTTTAAACTTTACCAAATCGTTGGACTTTGGCGGACTGCACTTTGCGTATTTTTCTTTTGATCAGGAGGTTGATGTGAGACAGGATGATGAATGGTGGAGCGAGCGTCGGACGTGAATGATACTCCACGATCAGATTATACCGCTGAAATTTCCAGTATGTGTCACTGCGCTCCTGAACCTTGGAAAACGTATAGCTGCAGAAGAACATTAATTAATGTTTAATAAATTTTTGGGCATTTTATTAGAGCAACAGTATCCCCAGCAGAAAAGAACAATGAAAAGCTATAGATGCCTTTTTAAATCATTAATAAGTCTGTGTTTTTGAAACTAATAAAAAAGCAGAAGTTGGTGATCTATTTAAAATGTTAGAACCTGACATGTTTACTCTTCCAAAATATTTAAAATGTTTCTTAATACAAAATGATTTATACACATAAATTAATACAACCCAAAATCAGAAAAGGGTGGGACAGTATGGAAAATGCAAATAAAAAAGAAAGTATGGCACTGCATCAAGAATCCTCATTTATCTATAAGCGATATCACCACATGAGCTAAGGACTACTTTAGCAAATCTTTGACAAGTACCACAACACATTGTTACATCCACGAATGCCAGTGAAAATGGTTCTGTGCCAAAAGGAAGCCCTATGTTAACAGTGTCCAGAAGTGTTGTTGACTTCTCTGGGCTCTGAGGCATCTGGGATGGACCATCACACAGTGGAAACATGTTCTGTGGTCAGATTAATCAGAATTTTCGGTATTTTTGGATACCGTGTGCTCCGGACCAAAGAAGAAAAGGATCATCTAGACTGTTTCCAGCAACAAGTCCAAAAGCCAGAGTCTGTCATGGTATGCGGTTGTGTCAGTTCCCTTGTCAAAGGTAACTTGCACTTCTGTGATGCACCATTAATGCTAAAACTACTTTTTGGGGGGATTTTGGAGCACAATATGTGGCTTGCTTTCCAGGGACGCCCATGCATATTTCAATAAGACAATGCAAAACCACGTTCTGGACAAATTACAAAGTTCTGACTGCGGAGGAAGAGGATACAGGTACTTGACTGGCCTGCCTGTAGTCCCGACCTGTCTCCAATAAATGCAATAACAAAGACCCTGTACTGTTGCCCACCTTAAGACTTAGGCTGTTTCTCAATACGCGTACTTCAGCAATCTTGCGTTCTCCTGTAACGTCGTCATCATCAACTGCCAAAGTTCAGTTCCAAAACTCAAGAACGCAAGTACAGAGGATGCATGAAAGTTCCTGGATGTGTTCTTGATATCGAGGACACATGAATGGAGACTTGAGCACCGAATTTGCTCTAGAAGTCCCAGAAGTCATTGCGACTGGAGGTAGGAAGCGCAGCATTTTACACAGATTTATTATTAAAGTTCATAGATATCACTTTATTTACCTCAGGAGTTTCCCTAAATGAAACTGTAACAGTAACCATTACCATGGAATTAAAGACAAACACATTAAGGGTGTTTATTTGTTAAAATTCGTAATAAAATCAGATTTATTTGTATTGTGCAATGTATATTTGTAAGGCTTTATGCAGAGTATATTTTGTGAAAAGGGGAAAAAACAGTAAATCACGGTATGAATGCTGTAATGTTTAAATAATTTCCTGTTAAAATTGTGTGAAGGTCACGTGACAATCAGAAAGAACGCAGCATTTCATTTCTCACAGGACACATTCTCTGTTATTGCAGTCTCCCTAGTCCGTTCCTCTGAGGTGACCTGGAAAGACCGGTCTCCACAAGAACGCAAGTCCGTTCTCTGCATTCTTGGAATTGAGAAACAGCCTTTGTTTGCAGGAAGAATGGGGACAAAATTACACCTGAAACACTTCATCACCTGGTGTTTTCAGTCCCTAAACGTCTTGTAAGTGTTGTGAAAAGGAATGGCAACATTACAAAGTAGTAAATGCTTTACTGTTCCAACTTTTTTTGAAATGTGTTGCAAGAACCAAAATTGGAATATGTGTTTATTTAAAAAAAGTCAAAAGGAACGCATTAAATAATGTTAGTTGTATTGTCTGCAATGAGATGCATGTCTAAGTAAATTTAGAAATCACTACTTTCTTTTTTTAATCAGCGTTTTTCCATACTGTCACAACTTTTTCTGATTTGGGGTTGTAAAAAAGAACATATTTTTGAGCAGTAATTTTTATCCAAGGTTATAATACCCTCATAATCTTATTCCAGCCCAACTGAAGGTGGAAGGATGAACAGACATATAAATACCTGAATGTGGCGATGAGCAGGTTGACAAGTAAAATGTTTGTGACTAGTAAGAAGATGACCAACAAAACGACCACAAGCCAGTTGTGGCTGGTGTCTCTGCACGGCTCTATCCCTTCATTGATCAACGTCAGATTATCTGTGCAGTCTCTTTCCCAGTGTCTGCCAGCTTAACACACACAGATATGATCCAGTCAGTGGATGTCAACAAAAAGGTGCAAAATGTTAATGGTGAGAAGTGTAAAAAGTGAACATACTGTCTATTTCTTCAACTGGTATCTGTCCGAATATGTGCAGATATGGCCTGTACAACACTCGTCGAAACGTTCTTGCAGGGCTCGGATCGTACTGGTATAGTAGAGCTTGATTGGCTACTCCATATGCACTCAACCACACCAGCAGGAAGAACAGGAAGAAGAACGCATCCTTGATCTGTAATTCAAGAACATTCATACAAAACACAAACACATGAGTGAGATTTGATAGTTGCCATAATGGTCTCCAGGTATATGTGAAATCTTCAGTGGGAATTCAGTTTGTGATGCTAATCTGCAATAATTGGTCTACTGCGTGCAGTGCGATTCGAAAATGCAATGCCCTCAATGCATACATAGACAGTGTTGAAGCAACAAGCACAAGCTGCCATGGTGTGTTTATGTTTGAGCCCGATGCAGGAACATGTTAATAAAATAATCTAGTTACACAGGCATATTGCTTTATTCTTAAACAAAAGTCCTAGTCAAAACAATGGCATACATTCAGTGTTAATTAATCAATACAGCGACAAAAGGTTGAACTATCCTGAACATTGACTGCAGCACACTCTAGTCAACAGGATTCATACGACTGAAATTAAAGTGAAACTGAATGGGATCATAGGCAGTACAGTGCTTTCCATGTCTGGTATGAAAGCATAGCTGATAGCGACGACAGATGCCACAATATTGCAAACCCAAAAGCTTCATAAAGGAAGCTGCATGCTTCATGTTTTCCACATGGTTTTAGATACGATTCGTAAATAGCGCCATAGCCAATTTACCAGAGAGCTACAATCAGTGCAGAATGAATACAACACACAACTAAGAGAACAGAGAACAAAGAGGCAACCATTTTAATAACATCTACAGGCTGTGATCCAGAGGAAGAAGAAGCTGTTGCAAAACTGTACTGACAAAGGGCGTACTCACACTATGCTATCCGAACCGTGCCCAGGCCCGTTTCCCGGATCGTTTGAAAAGTGTGAGTGCGCTGAGTCAGGCTCAGGCATGGTTCACTTGGCCGGCCCTGGCCCGGTTGGAAGAGGTGGGCCTGAGCGCGGTTCACTTGGGCTTTGGCGTGGTACGCTGTGTGTGAGTGCAAAACGCGCCAAAGCCCGGAACTGAAAGCGAGACCTGACTTTTAAGGGGCTGTTTCATTTGGATTTATTAATAATTTTTACTGTTTAGTGAACACAAACTGCCGTAGTTTATTAAATACGCAAACCCCTCACTGCACGACAGCTGCACCTTTATCAAACCTCCTAATTCCTGCAGCACGGGGGCTTTTATGGATTGTTTATGAGCATCAAAAGTGGCTGATCTGTTCGGTGAAATATGCATGTCACTGCATCCCAAGCGATATAACTGAAGAAATCCCCACGGTGCTGAGCGAGAGCGCTTCTGACCACCAGCACATCATCAATGATGTAAGCGTGCCCAGGCCCGATTGTAATGTGAGTGGGGGCAGTCGGGGGAGACGGGAGGGGGGATAAGCGTGCTTTGGCCCGGTTCGAGCAACTGTACATAGTGTGGGTATGCCCAAAGTCTCATTCAAGCTCTGACAAAGTTCCATGTACATCTCCATCCTTTAATATTTGGTGAAATCCAATCAGAAACATTCCAGTGCATATCGTGAGTAGGTTTCTGTCTCAGTAAAATGACAGGAACAGCACAAGGTTGGCTGTAGTGTGGTATTGTGAAAATTAACTTTAACCATTTATTCCTCACAGCTTTTTCTCCAGGCTGTAAAAAAAATATTTTCCTTAACAAGTTGGAGGGGAATGTTTCATTCAGACCTCATGACGAAATGACTACAGAACTGAATGCATGGCAATATGCTGAAAGCTGAAATGACTCTGACTCTAGACTGATTTGCTTTTTTCTGTCTCCTTACAGTGCACAAGGAGCTCACTTGGACCTCCAGTCTCAAGTTCCTCAATGTTGGGGCAGCCAAGATGTATGTCTGAATCCCCCAGGTGGAGAAGGCCATTGTGGTCAATTTCTGTCAGCAATTCACTGCTGCCTGAAGAGATTGCTCATGCCTCTCATCTAAAGCTCTCAGCATGTCTCAGTGCTCTGCTTCTGCCCTGAATGTTGTGGCCATCTATTTGTTCTACCAGTCCGACCCTTTTAAACACATGGATTGTTACTCCCAATAGCTTTTGTACGATCGCTGTATGGCCACCTCTGACTAAACCTGGCAGATATGAAGGACAATAGCAAGGTTTGAGCTCTTCATACTTCCATATGCCAAGTCTTGCTGGCTGTGCTATATTGACCCGCCTGAACCAGTTTTTCAGCTCAAGCACCACCTGCTTGGTAAATCCTCCTGAGGTAAGACCTGCTTTTTCAGGGACATAGCACAATTTGGCACCCATGTCCAGATCTATGGAACCACCACATGTAGACGTGGAGGACTGAGTGGTGTTTCTCTCACCCTGGATTTCCCCAGTTAAAGATGTCTTGTCCTTAGCTCTCTGCAACTCTCGCTTGTTCGCCCACTGAAGCTAAGCAGGGCTGCGCCCGGTCAGTACCTGGATGGGAGACCACATTGGGAAAGCTAGGTTGCTGCCGGAAGTGGTGATAGTGGGGCCAGCAGGGGGCGCCCAACCTGCAGTCTGTGTGGGTCCTAATGCCCCAGTATAGTGAAGGGGACGCTAT